CCCCAAAACCCCAAAACCCCTAACACGACATAATCAGTAATAATAAATTTTTATCATTTATTTTAATTAAATTCTTTAATATATCATAAAAATAGCATTGATTATAAATCCTCAATTATATTATGGCATATTCGATGGTGAGAAATATTTGAACTTAATTTCTCTTTCGTCGTTTCATTTACTATATATATCAATCATTTTTATCAATTCTCAATTACTTTTGTCAAGAGCTTGATTATTCATCATCAATGGCATTATAAGTCTCAATAATCATTGTTGTTTCAGATTGTTCCAATATAGATTCATTGATTGAATAGTAAGTAGATCTCTTTTTTTACTTTTCTTTTAATTCCTCCTTTGAATGCTATTCAATTTAGTCAATTAAATCCTATGATCGATGTTTAAAATTCTTTTAATTTGCTTCTTATAGTTATTCTTGGGGATTTACGAAGTCATTTTAAAAAAGGGAATCGTAGTTGATATTATCATCGAAATTGCTGGTCTCATAAGTATTCTTATATATTGCCCTTCTATTAATAATTTTATTTTTTAATCTCTATTGCTAGTAGAAGGAATCTAAGCTTTCCTATTTGCTTGATATATTTCTACCATTACCTTTAGAACTACCCTTAAGATTTTAGAAAGAAATGAATGTAATCATAAATACTGTCATCAGAATAATGAAGATTATGCTTGCAAGTAAAATCTTAGATTTACTTTCACTTTAGTTGCGAATTTGTTTAAATATAACGAGTACTTATTCCTGATGATTAGATAATTACGATGTTCCAATTAAAGTAACGTTGAACTAAGAAAATGATCTTTATTTTTAGAGGTTTAACAACCCACCTGCATTCTCAGTAATATTTTAAAAGTCTAATACCAAATGTCTTCTTGTGCAAATTCTGATAATGTAAATTTGAGTATCACAGATAAAACTAACTCCTATTTAATCTAAATTTTCTGATGTTAAAGAAGGATTCTAGCTCAGTGAATTGCATTCAAAGTTCTTTCCTATCATAAATAAGCCTAATACTTTAGATTTGAAACTGGAATAGAGGGATATAGCTCCTAGATATACATAAAATGAGTCTTTAGTAATTATTTACTTTGCAAGAAAAGCATAGCCATATTGATTCTAAGCTATATTTGAAGTGATTTGATTAAAGCTTCTTCTTATTATTTGCTTTTTTATAATTGTAATATTTGGCTTTTAATCATCTATGAAAATCTAAGTTCTATTAGTTAAGTCAATATTAAAACTGAAGATGTATATTCCAAAGTTTGTCAGAAGATGAATAGTGGATGGCCATTCACCAACAACACTATTAACTAGAAAAAGGTCTTCTGTCTCTGCTTGGCATTATAAGTAGAATTCATCTAACTCTTTAATAATGATTTCGAATATTGTCTAAGAGTTCTTCAAATCATATAAATATGCGCCTATTTGTTGGTCAACTATAATTACTATATTGGATCCAGGTATCTGAAGAGATTTTGAGACAAGATAGGTATCTTTTTGTTCAGTAAGAGAACTCAGCCATTTTAAATCAGTAATAGTTTGGGTATCATCTTTAAGGTTTAGAGTGAAATTCATTGTGTATAGCAGGTTGGAAAAAGAGCTAGTTATTTTACAAGTCATTGCTGTTATAAACGTGATTACCATATTTTCAGCATCTAAAACACTTATCTAACCTTTATCAACATCAATGATCTTGCTAGAAAATCGGTAGTTATTTTTAAGCTATATTACTTCCATTTAAACATTTTTAGTCGGAGTATTATAAATTAGAATCTTAGCATGTTTTAAGGATAAGACGCTGCTTATTTTGCATTGATAGAGTGCAATATACAAAGTATATTATTCAAATTTCTAATATTAAGAAATTGCAATGTAACCATCGATTTTACAACCAAAGTCCAGATATGTCCAATTTCTTCTTAGCAACTCTAAGGATCTCATATTCATAGCCTCATAGTCTTTACTACCATCTTAGATCCTTAATAAATACGATTCTTACAAAGAGTCAATCATAAAAAAATAATCTCCTAGCGTTTCCGAAAATATTACTTATCTAGCAGAAGTCACGAATTCCAGGAAAAATTTGAACTACTAACTTTGAGTATTATCTACAATTACTTCATTGCAAGATTAGGTATAGCCATCTTGATCATGATATCTGCAGTCATAATCCACTTTGATACTCATCCCTTAAAGATAGTCTTGAATAAGCAACTTGCTTGATTAAGAGTTAGAATAATTTATCTCGATTTCACTCCCCATAACTTGACTTACCACTAATCCCTAGTTTTAAGAGAATATGTTAAGTTATATGCCTCCTATTGATGGAAGTTTATCACTAAAAAACGTTTTTCCAACGATGCTAAGGCTTGCAATTTTAGTAGAGCTATCAATGAATGACATTCAATTCTCGTCTGTCTCCAAATTATTTTATTAGGAACATTTTGCTACCAAAGCTTCGTATTTTTCTTAGCCTGTCCTTGCTTGAATGTAGTTAAATACTTCCACCTCGAAAATCTTTACCTTGTCCTTCTTACTAGCAAGAAACATAAAATCTGCTTCTGGTCCCTTTTTGAAAAGTTATATTTTTGTTAAATTATTATCATCAAAGAAACCGCCTAAGTCATCTACTAGCATGAATGCATCATGCTGTGCCTCGCAATATATACAGAAAATAAAGACTTATCTTTTAGAAATCTGGTTAATACCCTCCATATCTTTCTCAAGTACTATTGAAAGCATACCTTCATAGAAGGATTTTTTTAGTGGACTCGGCTAAAGTCTGTTAAAAGAGAATTTGAAATCTGAGTAGTCTTTGAATAAAGGCATCTGCTTTTGATAAACTAATCTTAGATCAGTAGTTAAAAGATAGACCTAGATAGTATTCTCTCCAGCATATAAGATTAAGTACTGTCCCTATTTAAAGTCTATATCATTGAGAATATTTCTATCTTCTCCTAGAAGTTTATATGTCTTCATCCATTATATCTTATAATGAAACTGCTGAGATTAAGTCTCAAATACTCCTACAGTGCTATCAGATTGCTGAGTTATAATGGCATTATTACTGGCAAATCCTTGAATTACTTAAGTTGATAGTAAATTAAATATTGTATCAAGCTCAAAGGAAGATATTTCCCTTAGGTAAGCAGGCTAAAAACTAACTTCGAATAGTACCAATATTTACTTGGGAATATTTAAATCTAATGGAGCCATTACTCCTCTATCGAATTCTTAATTATAGGTCATCATTGATGTTTACTCAAATTACTGCTCAAAAGAATTGTCATTTGAATCTAATTTTAGTCTCCAAACAATGGCTTCTTTGACAATAAATAGATGCATTTCAAAACGATTATCTCTCCATTGATGATTATTTCTAACAATATAAAATAAACCTCTTTACTATGTGTTAAATGAATGGAAAACATAATCTTAGTGTTCGCCAAGTTGGATAGCATTATTTAAATCAAAAGAATTGTTTAACTTGTTTTAGGTGTAAGATTTTATAGTATTTTACTCTATGTTAAGACAAACAAGGATATATCCATCATTATCTTCCTAACCTCCCTAATAAGGAGTGTAAAGTTGAAAGAAAGTACATTTAGATATATCAAAAGAAGATTCAAATTCAAGTTTAAACTCCTAGTTCTTAGTCTTAAAATGGCAATTCCCATCATCACAATCATCTGAGGGAGATTGTATTTCAAGCTCAAAGTTAGGTCCCAAAAAATTATCACTGATGAAATATTTAAATGATTAATCTCCACAGTTGTAAAATAGTGATATATTAGTTATGTAATCTGGACTTCCCAAGTCTTTAGACAGAACAGATGTGTAGTTTTAATCCACAAATGTTATGTTAAAGTCCTAGTCGTATCTATAGACTTAATTATATACCGACATCATGCATGTAATCAGATTATTCTTGTATTTTCTGATAAGTGTTTCATTTGTTGCATCTATTGTAAGTGTGTAATCATCAATAGCAATAAGCTTTATTTTCTACTCGTTCCTGATTATTAAATGATTAAAAACAGCACTATCGAATGCTATTGTATTGCTCATAAATTGAGTATCAAATATATAATCAGCTTTAGCAATGTCAAGCCTATTTGATGTTCTAGAATAGATTCTCAAGTATTACTTTCTTGTAGTAATTTCCTCCATTACATGAACCAAATAATTGTTATTTACTGTAATAATATTAAGCCCTATATGATTGCTAAATTCATCTGGAGCTGTGTAAATCTTTTTTATAATGATATTATCAGGATCAGAAAGATCATACTCAATTACCTAAGGTGGAGTTGAAACTAAAGCATAAAAATACTACTGGTCCATATCAGTTTTATAAAGAGCTACTCCATTAGGTAGAATGAATTATTATGTGTCATCATAGCAATCTAGATACTTCACTAATAAGTTAAGTGTAATCTTTACTTACATTAAGGATCAGTAGATATAGTATAAAATATATCAGGATGCTTGCAAACAATCAACCGATTATCTAGCAGGATAGCAATCATCAACTTATAATTTTCAATGGGTAGGTAATCTATCATTTTATTAAAAGTTAGAGTTGGACCTAAATCTATCTAATATTCTTTTTGAAATACATTGCTTTGATTGAACGTGAGATGATTGGACTTCTATTAGACAAACATTTCATCTATATAATCAAAGTCTACGATATAGATTGTCAAATATTTAGGACTCATACCTAGAAATATTCCTTTATCAATTGTTTGTAAGAATTAATTGCCCATGAATTTAACACCTAAATCACTATCGAAGTTTATGTTTACTGTTGTTGCTAGAAAAGACAAATATCTTATTTTTATTTAATCAAATATTCCATCTATAAGTACCAGTTAGCTAATATATATAGCTTATAAATTCTAGTCTATGTACTTCCCTCTACAAAACATTACTAAGCTTTATTTCATATTATCTCTAACCTAAAGATCGAAGCAAGTATCATTCACTATTGATTTATTGAGTTATACTTCTATATCTTTTTCCATATTTTTATCTGATTACTAAATCATATTATATCTGTAGAGAGTGAGATTTCTGTCAAGAAATACGTAGATGAGCTTTTAAGAATCCTACTTTTGTATAACTAAATCAGTCCTTGGTAGTATTTCATGAGGTGTATCATAAAACTTAGCGTCGTTAAGTAGTGACACATTCAGCATGAAAAATGTCTAATTAAGATGAACGAGTTAGTCTTTATCATTTTTAAAATCATTGTACTCGTCATAATTGTGGATACTACAAAGTAATTTGTATTATAGTAAACTTCCTTAGAAATAGTCACTTAGCTCAACTTTTCTTACTTCATATTATTCTACTAAAAAGTTTGGGAAAAAATCTTTTTTGTATATATCACCTCTGTATGTGGCTCCACTTATTTAATTCAAAGCTAGCACTTATATCAAAAGTATTAGATTCATTATCATGATTAAAATTCCCACTCTTTTAAAAGGAAAAATAGTCTAATTTTTATACAGAATTACCATTAAATAATGATTATAATAATACATTGGATATTCTAACTTAATTATATTATGCATTTTTATTATTCATATATTTTCGCATATTTTTATTGACGGGGTTTTGGGGTTTTGGGGTTTTGGGG